GGGCTGTGGCAGGATCGGCCCCGGCACATTTATGTCATTCCGGTTTTATTAATTTACCGTTGTTAAAACATTTTTTTTTCCCGAAAGACTGCTGTTAGACTTGCTGTCAGTGTTTCAAATGAGAATATCTATTTTTGTGTTTAAAAAAAAAAATTCCCTCACAAATCAGGGTCTCTCAGCATCCTGAATTTGTCTTAAAATACATGAGGGTATTCAAATACATTTATTAGATTAAATTATGGCTTTTAAAATTATGCTCAGGTCACACTTCTGAACTTTTTTCTGTCAATACAGTTTTTCAGATGTTTTTAAATGTAAATGCAATTGAGTCTTCATATTCTGCCTGCTGTGGGATAAGAGAAAAACAGAGCAGTAGCATTTAGGATAAGATCTTGTGAATTTGTAATGCTGATGTGGCATGCTGATGGGTGGCCCTCAGAATTCAAATTACAATTTCAATTAAATTAGGGAAGGCAAAGATGTGGTATTTTCCAGACAGCCCGAGTTACTGACGTGATCATTGTACATCATGGAAATTGTGTTTAGTGATAAAGCTCAGGCCTCACCCTTGTTGAGAAAGAACTTTTCTGGCAACGTAAGCAACTCCAATTTTCTGCGCTGTTAAGAATATCTATATATTTTTCTACTTATATGGACATTTTGAGAGTCTCAGTATTGATGTCTCTTCAGGTTCGCTAGAGTCTTTGCTGTCATGTCTCTGCTTAGCAATCTCTTTTTGAGGCTTGTTCTCTTCCTGTTTAAACCTGAATCAATTAAAATTTGAATAATGAACATTGTGAATTGTAATGACGTCCCAATTAGAGCAAGAAACTTGCCAGAATGTAGTATTGCAATTAAATTCCTACGGTCTGGAAGAAGCAAATACTTTGCGGAAGAAGCAAATACTTTGCTTCATTGGTTTAGTAGTAGTTCCCTGTCTTCTGTAAAGTTTTAATTGTTACTATAAGACACGTGGTTAATGTAAGCTTTTCGTGGAATAAAAAAAGCTTGGAGATGATGTGATGATGTGATAGAAGCATGACAACGTGTAATACTGTAGTAACAATGGGAATCAATGTGCGTGAAGTTAGAAACACAGAATCGTTAAAGTTGGAAGAGACCCTTAAGATCATCGAGTCCAACCGTTAACCCAGCACTGCCAAGCCCACCATTAAACCATGTCCCTAAGCACCACCTCTACCCGTCTTTTAAATACCTCTAGGGATGGGAACTCAACCACTTCCCTGGGCAGCCTGTTCCAATGCCTGACTACCCTTTCGGTGAAGAAGTTTTTCCTAATATGAAACCTAAACTTTCCCTGGTGCAGCTTGAGGCCGTTTCCTCTCGTCCTATCGCTTGTTACTAGGGAGAAGAGACCAACTCCCACCTCGCTACAACCTCCTTTCAGGTAGCTGTAGAGAGCAATAAGGTCTCCCCTCAGCCTCCCCTTCTCCAGGCTAAACAGCCCCAGTTCCCTCAGCTGCTCCTGATGAGGCTTTTTCTCTAGACCCTTCACCAACTTCCTTGCCCCT